AAGGCTCTGAGACAGCTGTTGGTGGGTTTGGTGCCATAGAAATAAAATTAAACAACATGAATTCAATGACAATAAATGATAGCCTTACTAAAAAGTGAGCCACATAGAGTGGATGGTGTACATGACTCCCATTTCCATTGACAGGAGACTCCAAGACGACGACATCCTTCAGATCAACTCCTGAGGAGCTGTCCCACAAAAAGCCGGAGTAGCTCACTCCCTGTGAACAGAGGCATGTATTAGTGTTAGATACATGTTCAAAGGTTTATTTAATTAATATAAACTTACTTACTCTACTTATGATTTAGTAAATCACAGCTATTCACATGTCAGTTACATAAACATTTTACTGTAGTTTACTGATGCTGATTCTCAGAGTGTAAGCATGAAGGTAATCAGCTGCTGCTAATATAGCTGGAGGGTCTCTGCTATTTTACAACAGATCATTTCATATTTATTCTGCATGAAAGATCAGTCTGTGCAGCAGCACTGCTTTAGTTTTACTGCAGTGCATCTGCAACAGTTCCTGATAATAAAAGAAACTGTAGTGGTTAAGAAATGTTCAAAACTCTTGACGGGTAAATTATTCAAATCGATTTCTGGGAACTGAAAACTGAACCGATTGATCTTCAGCAAAGTTTAGACTTTGATTTATTTTTGTGGATACAATTTAAAGTGTCGTTGTAACAGCTGCCAGTGGGAAACCCACCTTGCTGGAATGTCCGGTGGGTTTTTCCGACACGATGCTTTTCCACAGCCCTCGTGGCCATTTCCACTTCTGTAAACTGGCAAGTGTTCCTTGATTTAATTCTGCACAGAACTGCAACACATAAAGACGGGTTTGCCTGTTATTTTATTACTAACTAAAAAGCAAATTAACATTTTGTAAAACTCTGGAAGCAACTGGCACAAAGTATCTGACGCAACTTGGGATTTGGTATCTTGTCCGAGGACACTGGAGCAGCCAGAGATTGAACCACCAGCCTTTGGATTAGCGATGATCTGCTCTAACCCAAATTATTATCTAATAGATAATTATTTAAATACCAACATGGCAAACAGGAAATACACACACAAAAAACATTTTAAAAGTATTAAGTATCATCTTCTACCAATCTGCTTCGATATAAATTAAAAGGACCCAGCTGGCAGGACTTGAAATTTAAAAATGAAATTAATATTTCAGATTTGAATATGAGCATTTCATATTATTTTCTCAAAGTAAGACGGATATCCAGACATTCAATTTAAAGTCAACTTATACTTAGGGATGGGTACCGCTATCCTGTCATAAACGGTAGTAACCAGACCGAAAAGCAGCGCACATTTCGGTGCTTTTCTTTTTCCTGAGATGTCACACACTTTGGATTCTAGCCAATCATTTTACATTTCTGAGGATAGTAGGCGGGCCCAGGTACGTACGTTCTTTTAGAGCAGAGCTACAGATTAAAAATGCCCAAGGCGAAGCGGTCAAAAGTCTGG